TCCCTCCCCTCTTCCCCCCAATCGCGATTGATTACCTCCTGCTCTCGATAACGGTTGTTTGGTTTTCGCTGACGCTTTTATCTCTGACGATGGACTCCCATAAGAGCCCGAAAGTGTCTTTTACGGCGATGAAGCTAAATTTCTGATCGACAGAAAATGAATGGTCAAAAAGAAATATCTCTCGGCCAGGAAGCTGTTGAGAAGCAGTACTTCGAAGTACCAAAATAAGTTGACGTAATCACCACTTACTCCTGGTCATCTTTGACGAGTGGGATGTAATTGATCAAGGAACGCTTTCGAAGGTCGTACACACGCACTGCCTGCAACAGAGAAATAGGCGGCAGTATGAGCGAAATGCCAGAAATTCAAAGTGGAACTTGTTGAGGATGGACAATACCAACGAACTTACTGCATTATATATGATTATCAGTAAGACCAAACATACTTCGTTTAAGACATCCGGCCTCTTGCAGTGGCAACAAGCGATGTTTAAAGGTAAAGCGATTACAGAAGATTTACTGCCTCATGAAATGGCAATCAAAATGAAAGTTAATGTCCTTTCATTTCGGAAGAGGTTACTTAAGTAGGATAGTAACATAAATTCTCGTGTGGCATAATCCTAAGATATGCCAGTCACGTCGGCTTTTCAATGAGCTTCTTCGCGGCTGCATCTGAAAGATTGACGTGTAATAAATGATTACTTAAGCAGAACGCATTTTGCTCACTTGTCCACCTTATAAATTCAAATGCATTTTATGCAAACGCAAAAAGTTACCATACGTACTTGATCGTCAGACCAAATCATAAGCGAGCGACGCCATTTAAGATTCCTGACCATTCCGGGAGATGAGTAGAGGTCCTCTGTCTTGAATCGCGTTAGAGCTCCTTTGGAGTAGAGGACAAGCTAGTGCAACAGAAAGGAGAATTATCTCTTACTGCTAAAATTGTTGTAGCATGCATGAATGCTTTTGAGGAAAAATGGGACAGCTAGAGTAGGCCAAATATTAATAAAATCGATTTCTTCTACATTAGTAAACTATTGTAAAATGGTTCCCTTATCCTTCACTCAAACTTCTTTTAATCATTGAGGATAAACACATGTGGATCCAGGCAACATAGAATGGGCTAAACTTGGTGAACGCTCAATTTACGTGCCAAAATATGAAGGTTTAAAAGAAACAGGTGGCTAATCAAATATATACAAATGAAAGAAATAGCCATTTCCGGGCTTATTAGCCGCTATCGACCAGTTAAACCCAATCCCACATGTGAAGCGCTTGGCATTCGAATCCGGGACCGTTGGTTATTGGCTCAAACGCTCTACCAATGAGCCACGGACTCACCGACCTGTCGGTTGTGCTCGGGAATATTAATTATGATGAAAAGTGACCAATGCTTTTATTGCACAGCGTCCCTATGATAGGGAACACATGTAGACCAATCGATATTGGGACCGTCAGAAGCGACGGTGTCCACACCACAACCCCAAAAGGCGAGCGAGAAGATGAACCGTGAAGGAATTCGTCTGCAGCGAAGCAGACTGCGTTGCAACTACCTCTTCCAACCATGGTTTTTAAATGACAGGTAAAATAAATCAGGGGGACCGGAGATAAGCACAGGTATGGTGGCCGACAACACTAGGCACCTCGAACTCGGTCACCAAATCCCCACGTACTTGGGTTTGAATTAGAGGGGTCTCCGATCTCATAGGAGTGAGAGACGGTATCTCAAGGCCGCAGCAAGAAGGAGCCAGTGCAGTCCGACATTCGTCCAGAAAGAGGACCAACGTAGGCGTCAGTTCGAAAACTTACAAGTCATGACTGTTAGCATGCCCGGTTTATTAAAGTGAGTCATGCGTTGACTTACTATGAGGAGTAGGCCCTCCGCTGAGAGGTAATCTGTGTTCTCGCTTTCTTTTTTGTTCCTCTCTTGTCCTGCTTTGTTTACTTTCTATCTCTCACACACTAGCCCTCCCTCCCTCCCTCTCTCTCTTTTCCTTTCCTTTTCATCTTCCCTTGCGTAACCTGTTCTACAATGCTCGCCTCCGGCTTGTTTTCCTTTTTAGGTCTGCGCCCATCCGACCTCAGCTAGGCGGTGGCCTGTTTTTGGCGATGTGTGAAAGAGTGAGGTCGATTCTCAGAGCATTTTTTCCTCATTAAGAACAGTCTGATGCGTTTGTAGCTATCACTGCGGGCTAAAAGCCGTGACTTGGAGAGTTACCAATTGACGGGATAACTTGGACACCACAGTCAACCCAGTGTGTTTTGTTCTGTGTAGTGGCTTACTGCAAACTGCGAGTCAAGCTCAATGTGGCCTTTATGGCGCTCCTACGCGGGAGCCTACCTAGCAAGGTGGTGTTGTTGAGGCGCGTGTTGGAATGTATTTCATGCACACCGCCTGCGTCCTTCCCCATCTCCGGTCTTCTCGACATTTGTCTTGACATCGGGTTCGGGTGTGGGAGTGGTCAGAGAATGGGGTAGATCCGGCGAGTCTACTTTCCCTATAATTCAGCTATAGTCACCGCGTCTGCCGTCAGCTAGCTGAGGCTCGTGGCGGACACTGTCGTGAGCGACGGTCGAACTGTCATGAGGAATAGTATATCAGTACCAACGTCACCACTTCTCCTTCTTCAAGTCCCTGGAGCATTTGGGGATTTGAGTAAGAGCAGTGATTAGTGTGCCCTAAGGCACCTCTCTCGGGGCAGCCCCGCTAACGCATTGAATGAGCCACTGTTTTCCCCATTTTGCTTACAGCATCAGCGATTAAGGGCGGTGGATCAACCTGCGATAATAAAAAGCGGACAAAAGTCCCGACAGCCTAGCTTGTCCAATTATGGCC